CTGACAAAGTCAGAGGCCTTACTAGGTGGACTATTTCTCTATTACAAGTGACTTCCTGAAACAGTAAGTTATGTAGATTTCCATCAGGTGTATTGTACATTAGACGCCAGTTTAAATTGCAGCAGTTATGTTAAATAATTGATTGATACTGAAAGTGTGATTAATGCATGTATGTATATTTTTACTGAAAGATGGTGGCGGAGGCGGGGGGGGATAACTTTCCATAAACTTTGTTGATATCCTATTAAAAGGGGATTTAAGTAAATCAAAGTTACTGCCGTCACTCATCTTACAAACAAAACTTGTTTATTAACTACATAAAAGAATAAAACAAAATGTTGGTGATATCCTTGGCAAAGTTAAAGAAAAGTGAGTGACCGGAGGGGAATGAATGTACTGTTGATTGTGAAGCGACTAGTATCTCTCAGAAGGCGAATTTGGGTCTCTAAGTCAACCCTAACATGACCCTAAACAGCTTTAATCTCCCTTTAACCAAACTCTCGACTACTTCTAACTTATAACTTAGTCTTAACCCTAATTTTCCCTAACCTTGTAACAGAAGGAAACGCAAGTCTTTAGAAACTCGATACATAGATATGGGCAAAATACGTCTACCATATTCTAGAATCACAGTTTGCACATATCTTTGGTATTGTACTCCTTTGTATTCCTTTCGTGTTTTACATGTTGTCCTACAAGCATAGTTCATTAAATCCATTTCTTCGCTATACAGTATTCTTGCAGATAATAAACATATTTATATCTGCATCTATATACTACTTATAAACCCTATCGGTAGCACAGGTCACGGCCTAACTCTTTAATAACCAGATATCCTGTTCACTATTCTTACACTTCTTTCACCATTCTTCTTCATAGACCTAGTTTCATTAACTTGCTCTTCTTGTGGATTTCAGGGACATTGGTGCTCTCATTCCCACGAACTGCCATTCTTTGACGTGACTATATTATGTCTCTTGGTCGCCTTGGGTTGACAGGCTATCATTGAATTAATGGCTGATGACTGAAGTGAAAGGATGACCAGTATAACAACTGGATCATACAGTTTAGCTGGTAGAGTGTTATTTGGAATCCTACCTCATTGCACCTTCTACTGTTTTCATCTATTATCTCACTACTAGTCTGCCTATTCAACAATGTCTCAGACAGTTTTACAGTCAACCACTTTATCTCTTAATTCAGTATGATTTAGGCGTCCATATGAGTAATGGTGTTCCCACTTAGACATGTCATTTTAAATCCCAAGACGTTATTAATTAGGTCAATTGGACCACGACAGACACCTACTGTATAGCGACTGAACATATCAGTCATCGGGAAATACAAAATTAACTTAAACAAAAAGAATTTCCAGCTGGGAAGATAGCTACAGTTTGCATTGTCGGTTCACAAAGTAGCTGCACTTTATGTGTGATGATTTCAGCAAAACGATAACCTGGTTAGCGACTAAGTATTGCAGCTTAGCTGGGTATTGTATCGGACTGTTAATCTGGAGATGCCTGGTTCAAACAAAAGTCTGTATATTGATTGGAGGATTTCATCATGAGTTGACATCAGTTAGAGTACCATTGGAAAACCTGGGAATACTGGCCAGCCAGCTGTTTCCTCCTAGTATGGGACTCTTCAGCAGTACACAGCCACCCAGCATGGTTCGAACCCAGGACCTTCCAGCTGCATGACGAGCGGTCTCGTAGACTATTGAGCCATTGGGACCCACCGATCCAATGGCCAGCCAGAGAGAATTCCAACTTTTGTCAATTCATAACATAGTGCCGACCACTTCGGAATGTCTTCTTCGATGAGTTACTACCTCACCTTCGTCTCGCTGCGCCCTACTGGTCACGGCTTCCCACTAGAACCCCAGGTAACTACCTGAATAGGGCCAGTTAGTCACTAGTGAGCATCAGATCAATTTTCAAGTATTGGTTTTGTAGGGATTTTGTTTGATTGGTCTGATGCTCACTATCGACTGGCCCTATTCAAGGAGTGAACTGGGGTTCTACTGGGAAGCCGCCACAAGTAGGGTACAGCAGGTTAGAGGTGAGGCAGTAACTCATCGAAGAAGACATTGCGAAGTGCTCGCGCTATGTCATGAATTGGCAGAAGTTAGAATTCGCGGGCCACTGGATCGGATCCCAGTGGCCTAATGGTTTACGAGCTCGCCTTGTAACGATAAGGCCCTAGGTTCGAACCCTGGAGGTAGAGTGGGTGTGTACTGATGAAGAGCCTCAGACTGGGACGGAACAGCTGTCCAGCATTTCCTGGTTTTCCACTGATTCTCTAACTGACGATATCCTCCAACCAATTAAACAAAATCCCTACAAAAACAATGCTTGAGGAAAGAATTCTGTATAGCTTTATTTAGTCTTGTTTGAATAGTGATTACACTACCGAGATATTTTCTTATCATGATAAACTGAAAAGTTTTTATCTAGTAGAAATGTTTGGTTATTGTTTTGTAGGTTACATGTCTAAACCCCTTATGCTTTAAACAGTGAACAGATGGTTTGAAGACCACAGATTTATAACTTTTACAATAATAATAATAATAAATTTTATAACCACTTGCCTGGGAATAATGAAACAAAGCGATAAACATTTTACGGAAATCTGACTGAACCGGAGGTAGATTTTGTAATGGAATGAAATCATTTGGCAGACTAGCTGTTGCATGCTAGTTTTGGACTCTTCAACAACGATGAATAAATTCTCTTTGAATATTGAGAGTGGCAACTGTTGAATTTATATTCAATTATAGCACCCCTCATTGATCTATTGTTACCCTTTCCGTAGCCAAGTGGGATAATATTCCTTGACTCTTTTAGATAGAACACCCATCGGATGACGTATATATCTCGCTCCACATCAGTAAGTGAATTTGTAGATACTAACAGAAATGGTCAAATGTGACAGTTGGTTTCTACAGCTGTTGAAGGATACTGTGAGGTAAGAGGATACCAGTCGTAATGTAGAAGCGAAGAATGTTCTTTTGCTATTCTTTTCTCGAGAGTGTCGACTGGGAGGTCGCCTTCTAAAGTCACATTCATGTATAGCATCATCTTCACTATCGAGATGGAATGTTCACTGTTGGTTTCGGGTTTTATGTGTTTGTCTAGGAAGCGTGGGAGGTAGCTATTTTCAACTTTTGTCTTTCTCAAAAAAGCAGTTTCTTCACCTACCGACTCATGATTGCAGATCCTTGTTGCAGGTGATATTAGTTTGCACCTACTATTAATCGGTTCTCAACTGTAGTAAACGTTTATCAACTGGTCTCTCCACTTAGACTTTCCATATACTGATTTTTTCCAAGTCTCATCAGTCTTCTTCATTAGTCTAACGTTAGGAAAGCAGACTTTCTGTTCAGTTACTACTTCAGTTGTAAATTTGGTGGCTAGGTGGCATCTAATGAAAACTTGAAGGATATTATTTAGGTTGTAACAACAGAAGACAAGGGCTGGCAACAGATCATTTTATTACGGAAATCAGCACTTATTTATATATATTTCCTGTACATTATTATAGCTTATTCGAGCAGACAAACACAGTCTTCTGATCGGTTGTTTCTGGTTTCTCGGAAAGTTAAGCCATATATTTGCAAATCTTATTTGCCCATGTTACGTCTGCTGTGATTGACTGTTGAATCAGCCTTGTTCATATTTTCTCACGGCCAATATTAGTGACCTAGACATTGACGTAGATTAATGTCTACCAATTGTCTAGCAGCCTGCTCTCACCACAAGGTCACACTTGTTGTCACAAACGATGAAAGCGTCATCAACGTACAACAGTATGCACCTTTGATCCTATCACGGGTCATATTCAGGTCTTTCAGATTGGGGAGAGAGTATGCAACCATTCATCCAGTTACTGGGTCATGACCTACAGGGTCCACAAAGTTGGGTGGGAAAATGAATACGCGTCAGTGGCGCTGTATTCAAGTTAATAAAAGTTGCAATTTATTGATTTCTGAATTCTAACCTATTCGCGAAGTGGTAAATGCGTTTGCTTTTCAGCCTAAGAATCCCGGATGCGGTCAGTGGGAGGCTTAATGTTGAAGAGTCCCAAACTAACACAGTAAACGTCTGCTATAAGGTTGTTGGATTCCTCAGTGGTGGACGAAATTCTCGAACAATCACTTTAGTCCTAATATGGACTCCAGGTGGTCTTTAAACCAATGAAATTTGACAGACCTGTCAAAACCTCTGCATCCCCTGATCCTACTTCAAGCCTTCATCGTCCCAGTTACTCATGCAATACTAGTCGACTCTCAAAGATGAAACCTCAGGCATCTTGCTGGCATTGTGATACTTGGCATTCGGTAAAATTTTTTCTGTATACGCAACATCGTTACCAAGATCACAATAATGTTGTACACAAAGTTGGTTTTAACCAACAAGACACGCAACGACACTCACAGCGGCCATCCTTGACGAGTCACCCCAGACTCCGTTCCCACTTAGCACTTGTTCCTCAAGGCTATATAGTTATTTGGTGTTGTAAACAGCCATGGAAACGCCTATAAAAGTTACTTGTTAATATCAGCCGGTAAAAAATCATATGAAATTACATATCTGGAAAAATAATCAATAAATTGCCAAATTTAGTTAAGTAGTAGCCTTATGTAATCTAAAAATACTAAGTGATGAATATAACTCGGAAATGATTGTCATGAAAAAAAAACTGAAAGCACTTGGAAACAGGAAGAATATTTTTTTAATAATAATAATAATATAATCACTTTATTCCACAACAATAACAATTTACAACATGGAATTTTCAGCGTTTCTTTTACATATTGCAATGGTTTAGCTCTGTTTATAATTATATAAATATATAAAATGTTAAAATATTGATAGTGGATAGGAAAAAAATAAAACCCCAACAAAATCACATCATTCTAGGTCATAGTGAATAATAAATAAATAATATAACAAATAACACATGCATTAATATGCATCATTACATTTATAGTTTAGTTAATGATTTAAAAGTTGTAAAAGTTCGTTTCTGATATTTGTCTCTTCACACAATACTCGTGCCAAATATGGTACGGTCGAATTTTTATATTTTGTAGTACGAGCATAAATATTTATGAAATTTCTTCTGGTCTTACCCGGAGAGACACAAGGAAACAATTGTGAATAAAGAGGATGTTCACTATCAGATAAGATAACTTTAGCTAAGTGTTTACAAGAATTCATATGCCTATTGACAACAGTGTCACTTAGTTGAGTCAAAGGGATAGCACTGACCCTACTTACAGCCTCAATGTTCTTCGTAGTATTATATGGTCTTTCTTGAGTAGCCCAGCGAAGAATAATGGAGAACAATAAAGAATGATGGGCAAAACACATGAATTAATAAATTGTATGATAAGAGATTGAGTTATACCTGAGTGTCTCAACTTCTTTATGTAATAAATCAGACGGAAAACTTTCTTAGAAACTATAAGAATATGAGACGACCAGCAAAGATTTGACGAGAAACTAATGCCAAGATAAGAAACACTTGACTTACTCTCTATCATGGTACCATCAATATTACAACAATCATGAGATTGGATCAATCCATGCATGTCTTTTTCACTTCTCAAGCTGAAATCAACAGTGTTACATTTAGTTGGATTTAGTTTAAGACCATTTGAGCCAGACCAATCCTTAACTTCAGCTAAGAAACCATTCATATGGGAACAATCCGATGTGGAAACTACAGGGACATAAGAGTAAGAAATTCAGAATATGTATCAAGTATATTGAAAAAAAGAGAAAAAAAGGAATGATTATGGATTACAGTATACCAAATTATTGTATATGTTTGAGAATGAAGATGTAAGGCCAGTGTAGTAAATGTGATTAGTAAAAAACCGCTTCTGTATACACAACTAAAAATTTTTCCTGTGTATATAAAAAGCTTCCACTGTGAAAAGACATTTGAATAGTTTACGAGCATTTGGTAACTGACAATATAAAGCAGCATATTCCCAAGTGGCATTCAGACACATCACAGCTTCAGTAAGCTAAAGCCTGGATGCTCCTACCTTAATGTAACGACCAAAACCACTCGTTGTACTCTGAACTCAGGGAACCGATCACGGCGTCCTACTATATAGTTGACTAAAACATACTTGAAACACGCACAGTCACACAAGGCTCCAAAGACCGCAAAAAGATGATTATTTCTTGTTGGTTCTGTTCAACAATAATAATATGAATGACTCAAAATTACTTCAGTTGTACTATTTGGCAGTTATACAAATAAGGTAACTCTGTAAGTTCAAAACAAGTACTGTAGAAATAAAATTAGTTAACCAAGACTCAGCTGTAAAAAGTATCTGGTAATCAAGACGAATATTAACAACAAGGTGGGATCAAAAACTCTGTTATGACCGGAACTACAACTTAATAGACTATGAGCGAATACTGACTTAATGCACTAGTTAATCTGTCGTAATCGTACGTCACTAACGACAACAATAACACCTCCAACACGCATGGACAAAAGAAAAGACTTGACGTCGGTATCAGAGCTTTTATGTCTCAAACAACAGTCAAAGTGCTAGACAGAAACTCTGTGTATATACACTTAGGATGACCTTGAAAATGCAGTAATTCAGTGATACATTAAAAGTATTGATAGCCAATAGGAATCCAGTAATCCAAACAGAGGGAAAAACAAAAGGGTTACCTTAGTTCGTCATAACACTTCAAAATACTTATTTTAAGGTTTTAGGCAAAATTAGGCAAAACTAGGCTTAGATAACAAAGTCAGTCATCAGGAATCACACACCGACCAACACTTCCCGAAGACAATGTGGGATCAGAATCACCTTGATTTACTCAAACGAAATCGCAGTCGTAAAACAACACATTATTCAATGCATCGCACAACTACAAAGAGGAGCATTAAAATTAGAGATTAAACAAGGAGGGACAAAGACAGGTAGTAAGGAAGGATCAAGTTAACATTTCCTTTCAGTACATTACACCGTCCACGAGAAATGTGACATTTGGAATACGCCCATATAACACTACTTACTACTCTTAGTAAGTACTATCATTTCGTTGGCTTTTTCAGAATGGTAGGTTAGAAGGCAAATTCTCAATTCCAATAGTAATTTTACGAAACGCAACTCCTGAGTGTCAATCACTCATCGTGAAACAACCTTATGATTTTGGTTAGTTTAACAGTGAAGATTTCATTGTCTTTTCGAGCAAACATTTAGAAAGGCGGAAGTGAGATTTAGAATTCTCCATGAGGTTATTAGTTGTCCTTCTTTTTGATCCTGGATATGATTGGTTGCTTCCGACAACTCTCTAACTTTCTTATCCACTTGTATTGATATTGATTATTATGTTGACGTCTTGTTTGTTAAGTTAGATCATTCTCATTGTGTCTGTTGTTTGCATTTGATTCATTAAAGTATCAGGCTTCTTGGGATTCACTGTCACTTTTGATGTTACATTTGTCTATGATTCATACACTTTGTTGAGTCTGATTATTTCGATGCAGGTTTTGGCATAAACTAATATCCGTCAGAGGGTGCAGTCAGTAGGCAGCTATTTTCATTTAATTTGGAGCTCTTCAGTATTTCGTAGTCATAACTTAGCCAGGGATAGGAACCAGAATCTTTAGGTTACAAAGCAAACACGTCGCGATTTATTCATCTGGTGTGGGTGGACTCAGTAAATCATGAGTTCTATCTTCTTAGCCTCTATTATTGATGAGTCCCGAAAAAGGACAAAGCAACTGTCTACTCCTCCTCCTCCTTGGTTTTCAGTGACCTGTAACTGGTGTTGGTTCATGATAAACTCTTCATTGAAATCCTCTGGATAAGTCTAAGACTTTGACTATAACACTACGACAAACAGGTGTTCTCCTTTGGACGAAAGAATACAGTTATGCAATCATAATTGACTGGGAATCAGTGTGTTTTATCAGTAGTTAAGTACTATTTTTATTTCTAGATGACGGCTAAAAAGATAATAGCAATAATAATATTAGCAGATAACTGATGAAATAGTTTCATATCATTTCATCCTCTGAAACAAAGGAGGGGGAGACAAACAAACAAATAGTCAAATGTCAACCTGAGACCGAGCACTTCGGTCCAATCAATCGACGGGAAAATCAAAAAATCTAATTGAATAATTAATATGACCCGTTGCACAAGAGGTGGCTCTCGTGGCCCAAGTGGTCTAGTGGATAACGCTTTGGGGTTCGAAACTATGGGCACTGGGTTCGAGCCTCGGTGGGAACATCATCACTCAGTGAGAAATGCAGGTACATCCAGATGACGAGTCCCAAATAGGACGAAATGCTCATCCTAGATACCACTGCTAGTCACCATCCACCAATTGTATCCTAAATAGTCAAATGGTTACGTAAGTCGACAATTCCATCTGCTTTTTAGGTTGTGTTTCTCCTCAGATAAATCAAAGATAAAGACATTTGGAGAATTTTTAGTTTTGTTATGGGCAGAAAATTACCCGCCTGTCTACTATTTAATGAAATAACTTTTTTCAGAAAAAGCAGTAGGCCTGTTATGCAGTGAAGGAGCAGTGAATACAACGATTTTCCAAAAAAAGGTGCTGTTCTTTGACACTCAGTAGAATTGGGATTTGTAGCACAGATGGATGATTTGGGTGTAGTTGTATTCTCTGAGCTGGATAGTTTAGTTGCCAAGCTTTCGTTGTTTGTATCTGGACTACGTCTTTAGAGCATACTTCAAGTTCGAGTGAGCTTTTGGAATTCTCCATGAGTTTGTTAGTAACCTCTCGTGGTAACTTTGAGAGGGATTAGTTGTTTTTGTATATCTCCCCCTCCCCTCTGACCCACTTCTAATGGACCTGAAATTTGACCTGTCGTTCATGTGATTTCATTCCCATGGGTTGGCAAAATTTTTTCAATGTCAGTATGTCTGTTGACTGTAGATTCACTTGAATATCAGTCTTCTAGAAGTTCTTTAACATTTTTGGTGTTTCCTCTGTCCATGATTTGGACACGATCCTAATCGAATCGGTGTGTGTAGTTGTTTATGTGTGGCAGTATGATGGTGTGGATACTGTGTCTTTTGAAGGCCAGTTTATGATCTCGGATGCGTGAACAAAGGGGGCGTCCACTTTCACAAAAGTGGTCAGGAGAACAGTCATTACCAATATAAGTGGACTAGAGAGGGAGAAAATACAGGTAAACGGCCAGTCACTCTCATGGTCACCAGGAGAGATGACTAATAACGTTGTGGAGAATTCTAAAAGCTCACTGGAATTCGAAGTATGCTCTGGAGATATAGTCTAGATACAGATAACGAAAGCTTGGCAACTAAGTTATCCAGCTCAGAGAAGACATCTACATCAAACGTTAGTAAAAAACTTAAAAAGAACGAGAGATATATCTTAACTCCCAAGTTCAGAGTTACAGCAAATATCTGTCGATGGTAGTGGATGAGTAAGGTTACCATTTTGGTGGTGGTGGTGGTGGTTGGGATATACAACTAGAAAGTTTGAATAACATGTTTTTAATCTAATGACTTACTGTGAGAGATAGTAGTCCCTCTTATTCAGTGGTAAATAAGATGAAATACACTCATCACTAAAGAGATCCAAAATAAGCCGTGCGATAATATGACATAGTCCAAATACCCCCAGTTTGAGTCAGTGCCACTTGGACACCAGTTGTAAACAAAGCATTCCTGATGCAATAGGTCGCATATATTATCAGCATAGGATCACGAAAATGCAATTTTATGTACATCTAAGTTTGAGACCGGAGCCTAGATATAACTATGAAGTTACATTTACTGTCACCAACCCTAGAAAGAATTCTGCAGCCATCCAAATAAATACCTCATAAAAACTTTACCAACTGCTGATTTAATGTCATTATGTGAATATTGTAACGGAATAATAAACTATCTATTCACAATATTTATACCTACGTGGATGTTTCAGCTAACTTTGTAATTATTATGCCTTTTTCTCTTACACTACATATGATTGTTCGAATATTTGCATAGCAAATGTTGAATCGATTCTTATTAATTGTCTTTATTACTGTTTATTCTCTAATTGTAATGCTTCTCTTTGTCATTGTGCCATACACTGATAATATTAGATAACAAAATCCCATTTTTAGATGTCTTAATCAAGAGAACCAACACAGGAAATTTAGAAACACAAGTATATAGAAAATCAATGCACACACAGATCAGATACTCAACTATAATAGCAATAATCCAATTACTCACTCACAAAAGAAACTATGTGCAGACATTGTTTAAAAGAATTCAAACACACTGTAGCACTCCAGAGTTGAAAAGAATGGAAGAAAAATACATACCAACTGTCTTCAAGAAGAATGGTTATCCACAAAATTTCATCAAAAAGTGTTTAAAACCGAATCACAACACCAACAATGAACCATCATCAAAGAATACAAGAAAATTCATCCTGCCATTTATAAAAAATATGTTTTAAATAACAGCTTGAATATTGAAACCTTTTGATTTAGATATAACACATAAGCCAGTCAAATCGCCTAATTCGCTTTCGTGCAAACCGAAAGATCCAACAGAAAAAGGGAATAAAATTAATAGCATTTACAAAATAAACTGTATGAACTATAACAGGCATTACATCGGCCAGAGTGGACGTAAATTGTATGGCCTGTAACAGACATTACAACGGCCAAAGTGGGCGTCCTCTTCGAATCAAAATCCAGGAATACAAATCATCCGTGAAAAGACAGGATATATATATATTCTTTCATATCAATGCATATAGACAATTATGGACATCAGTTTGATAACTGGGATAATGTTGAAATTTTAGACAGAGGAAAAACCAAAAGTGCAGTCAGGGAATTCCTAGAAGCCTGGTACTCAAAAGAATATGCAATTCACAAACACGTTAATTTGGACCAAATATACCAAC